CCTAGCTTCTCATCTTTTTCATTGAACATCAAAGACCTTCCATTTGTCTATGAGGCTATATATGATCTGTCCACGTCCATCCACCACCCCAGCTCCATGCTAACTTTGACTGCAGCCTCTATTGCTCCCTTCCTCATTGATTCCACCTCAGAAACAGTGAATCCCTTGCTGTTCCTCGACCATGAAAAATGTGCTCCTGCCCTAAGACAATTCCCACCGGGCTATTCCCTCTTGCTTGGGCATTCTTTCCTTAGTTAACAAATGCTTCCTTATAATCCAGAAAATTGGAAAGAGTTGAGTACCTTAGAAAGTATGGAATACAGCACCCTAGTGGATAGGGTGTAGTTAAATAGGAACCAGGAGATTTCCTTTATGGTATTAACAGTAGGGATATAATATATGACCAAAGATGTATCACAATTTGATGGTGGGAAATATTTTCAAGGCAAATTAGTGCACTAGGAAAACTAGGTGCTTTCAGAGTAAGATAGCCTTCTCCTTACTAATTTATTATTTATTTTTACAAAATATGTGAGTTCTTTTCCAGGATTGAACATGCAGCCCTAATTATATCTTTACATCATGCCTGTAAAAAGTACATTATAGGGAACTAGACTGGGCTGAGGAAAAGGAAGGCCGACAGTGGAATCCCACAAAAAGTGTTACTTAAGAACAAAGAATTCAGGTTTGGAAATAGATTAACGCAGATACTGTGAACATCCTCTTGAGATTTGGGGGACTGATCATACCACGCTCGATTAATGGTAGAATTTTCCTTAAAATGTAAGGGATATTCCCACTGATATTCATCCTGAGGAGAAATTAATGTTGGGGTAGAAAACAAAGCAGGCCCTGATTGGGGACTGAAGAGATCTTCTTTTTTTCCTTGGGACCCAGGATCACTGAGATTTTAAAAGACTGTTGAAGAGAGACTTGGAGCAATGCAGCCCTTAATGTTACATGAGCTCCCTTCTTGTGTGCTTTGGAGCAACTTCCTTACAGTTTTTTGAAATATTCTCTCCAACTTCTGTCTTCTGTACACCTAGTACTTTGAAATGGGAGGGGAATAGTTTCGACCCCTTTAGCTAATTTTCCATGTGTAATAGAAAAAGATACAATCTGTCTTTCAAATAAGGAATGGTGATATATATAAAAAATAAGATTTCCCATCCTGATTATGTTTTACTCCAGCATTGCAGGTATCTGTAAGCCAAGCTCAACCTTTTATTAAGACAGCAGGTGACCTCATAACAGGTTAGCCAGGTGAAAAAATAGTACGCAGACTAATTCACCAGAAGCCAATTTAGTAAATGAGTTATTTAATGACTGGCCATTTTGCTAAAAGGGCTTTCAAAAAATAAACCTACATCCTAGAAAGGCTGATGGAAACTCAAAACTTGTCGAAATGCATATTACAGAACAGACATTTTATAAGAATTAATATCGGGCTTCCCTGGTGGCGCAGTGGTTGAGAGTCCGCCTGCTGATGCAGGCGACAGGGGTTCGTGCCCCGGTCCGGGAGGATCCCGCATGCCGCGGAGCGGCTGGGCCCACGAGCCATGGCGACTGGGCCTGCGTGTAAAGAGTTTGGGCGGCTTACCTGGTGGCGCAGTGGTTGAGAATCTGCCTTCCAATGCAGGGAATGCGGGTTCGAGCCCGGGTCTGGGAAGATCCCACATGCCACGGAGCAACTAGGCCCGTGAGCCACAACTACTGAGCCTGCGCGTCTGGAGCCTGTGCTCCGCAACAAGAGAGGCCACGACAGTGAGAGGCCCCTGCACCGCGATGAAGAGTGGCCCCCGCTCACCGCAACTAGAGAAAGCCCTCGCACAGAAGTGAAGACCCAACACAGCCAAAAATAAATATAAAAATAAATTAATTAACTAAAAAAAAAGAGTTTGGGAAGGATAAAGTGCCTTCTTGCTGTTATTTACCATTAGTAGAGATTTCATATTCAGAAACAGCTAAAACTTTTAAAATGTATTCTTTCTATCTTCCTTGAAATTTTTCATAAATAACTCAAAAATATTGGCAAAATGATATGGCTCCTTTCAAATATTCCTAGGTATTGTAAAGCACCAGGTAAATTAAGACACAGCAGGTAAGTGAATTGCTTGGAGCAGAGTAAGTACTTAATACATATCAAACAGGTTATGATTGGAACAAAGCCAATTTCTAGTAACAACAAAATAATAAATCTGATTATAGCAGGTTAAACTTACCATGTGCTAATAACTATGCTAAGTGTTCCTCTGCTCTCATTGTTTCAAAAATTATTGAGCACCTAGAATGTGCTAGACATATGTGGGATTTTGAGGTTACAGTAAAGACCAAAATAAACGATAGAGATTTTGATATCATGCAACTTACAGTTTAGCAGAGGAGAGAGACGTTAATCTGAGAATTTTGAAAATGTAGAAATAAAGCTGTGGTCATTGCTACAAACAGGTAAGAAGAAAGTCATAATGTAAGAATGCATGAAAGGGGCACTTGGCCAGTTACTTTATTATCCATTCCTTTCTCAAGAAGGTAGTTCTGAAATCTGACTGGGAACAAAAAGTATTGGTGGTTATGGAGATAAGTGACCTAGGCAGAGGGATGAACCAGTGCAAATGCCCTATGGCAGTGTGGTCCAGGGACCATACATTATTTGAGGGACTAAAAATTCAATGTACCTGGAAACCAGCCAGTAAGGAAAGGTGTGGTAGGAAAAAAAGATGAAGAGGTATAAAGTAAACCATATTAATAATTTATTTTTTATTGAGGTATAATTGGCATACAGCATTATATTATTTTCAGGTGTACAACATAATGCTTCAATATTTGTATATATATTGTGAAATGATCACCGCAATAAGTCTACTTAACAGCTATTATCATACGTATGTACAGAATTTGTTTTCTTGTGACAAGAACTTTTAGGATTTACTCTCTTTGCAATTTTCAAATATGCAATAACTAAATTTTATTCTAAGAAAAATGAGAAACCATGAAATGATTTTAATCAGGGATGAATATGATAACATTTTCTTTTGTGCAATGAGCATTGGCTGGTGGGATGGGATAAATCCAATCAAAGAGGCACAGAGTGGAGGACTGGTCCATCAGTTAGCACAGTGACAGGGGAAGATGATGGTATTGCTTGTGGGAACGTAAAAACGTAAATTGATTTGGCTTGGTGACAGATTGGATTGGGGAGGTGACAAGAGGGAGGTGGGTGGCATCAGTCAGTGGTTGGTAATGCTGTTCATGGGGAAAGAAAACAATGGAAATACATGAGGTGTTGGAGGAAGAAGCAGCCATGAACTCAGTTTTGGATACCTTGGTACAGCGACCCTGAGGAAGCCTCTGGGTATATCACTGATCTCTGATCTCCTCTGGTAACACATTACAGAGCTGTGACTAGCTCTCATGTCTGTGTGTGAACTAGACTGGGACCTTCAAGGTTAAAGATAGTTTCTTAGCATATTAAACATAGATGTTTAATAGATGATGGAAGAAAAAGGG